GCTGCCAAGTAAGGGTGATCTCCTGGCGATTGTGCCCGCTGAGAAACGGGCCAGAGTCGAACCAAGTGGCCCGTTGGGCCGACTCTCAATGGACCGGACACGTGTAGTGGGCCGAATAGATCGAGAGCTGACTCACTCAAAGCGTTCCGATACAGGAAATGGGGCAAGACAACGTCATAGTAAGCCACCTGGCCGACTTGGGAGTCTAAGATCAAGGGATCAGGCGGGTCTAGTTTTGAAAGAGAGGCCGCGGGAAAAGACGAGTCGGAGCGGTGGGTCCCGCAGCAAGCCGCCCAGTCGACTCGGAAGCTGTGAGGATCGGAACCGGATCATGGATCGCAAAAATTCCAGCATTTATGTCGCTCCGAGAAATCCTCCACCAAGAATGAAAAGGGACCACGTTGATCCGCACCCAAAAGTACGCCCGGCAGTAGTCCCAGCGAGAATGAAGTCGTCCATCAGGTACTCGTCATCCAGCCAAACGACGAGATCTGGACGCTCGGGTTTCTCGCCTCGGCGGCATCGTGTCGCGAGGAGAGTGGGCCCCACCGTGAAGCCTCCGCCACGCCGGATGCCGAGTCAGCCCAGAAGTGCGGCCCCTCGCAGGAGGCCGAGGAAAAACAGGAGGGGAGGGCTGAAGAGGTTCGGGCAAAGCTGGCCGTCATCTTCCATCACCACCAGCCACACCACCACCACCCTCAGCGACGGAGGACGCGTGAGAGGCCGGGGAGCGCGGTGGCCCACGTCACAGGTCGCGTGGCGTACTGAGGAGCACCGTGGGCCTCACGAGCGAAGGGAATGGGGAATGAGCTGGCCAAGGCGTCGGCACGTATGCCAGGTCAGCAGCGGCAGCACGGGTAGTTTGTATGCCATGATAGAGGGGTGATTCGGCACGTGTGGGGATGAGGAGGCGGAAGAGGGCGAAGGTAGGGAGCAGAGCGAAGCAGAGGAATAAGGTGCGCTGGTGGCAGAGGTTTAGAAGGCGGCGAGGAGGTTTAAGGTTGACCAAAAGGAAGGCGCCACGTCTGAGGTTGGGGTTTAATAGGTCTCAGTCGCGAAACAACAGAAACAAGAACGGATGAGCGGCAGTAGTATTGGCTCAGGGCTAATGCGTGCATGATTGTAGGCTGTAATTATTTTGATTCGGAGTTTATTTGCACTTATCAATCTGCATTTTTCACTTTGACCGGTACAATTCTACTTGACTGAACTAACTCACACTCATACAAGTTTGAATTTTTGTTTCTTAATTTTGCCGCAACTATATATGCCTTTGAAATCTTTCAAACGTTTTGTTTTAATAGTTACATGATTTTTTCCCCCAACATAATTGAAGACGAGGGCAAGTCAAACAAGGAACATGGGTAATAATATAAGACCACAAATTAAGTTCTCGCCCAACAGTGATCACTTCCTAGTAATAAAATCCAAGAAATCATCAACCGAATCCGCAGAGCTCTTTGGAAACCCTCTCTCGAAAACACCCTTCATTTCAGCCGCTCTCTCCCTAACCCCCTCATCTGCCATCAGCATCTCAATCCCTCCAACGACATCCTCCTTCGTGCGTTATGATGCTGGTCACCCCTCACCGGCCACGTCAGCATCGGGACCCCACACCCGAGCGCCTCCACCGTCGAGTTCCACCCGCAGTGGCAGACATACCCTCCCGTCGTCGCGGTGGCTCAATTATCGTCAGCGCGGGGCCCACCCTTTGATAATCAGCCCCCTCTGCCCGTCGAATCGTGTCGCCTCGAGTTGGGCTGCACCACCCAAATAAAAGGCCGGTTTGATTCTTCCAAGCCCGCTGCCAGTTCCGCAAGCTCTTCATCGCTCGGGTTCACTAGACTGCCGAATGACACGTAGATCACTGATCCACGTGGCTTCGAGTCCAACCATTGGATCACTCGTTCCTCGGTGACGCTCGACTCGCGCCTCGACCGGACCTCGCCGTCCCTGAACTGCACCGGGAGGAGCGGGCCCACACCCCAGACCGGTTTCTTAGCCTCCCTCGCCACGTAGTCCAGAAACGGACGCTCAAGATCGGCAGGCGAACGTGTTGAAAAGCATCGCCGCCACGTCCTCTGAGGCCGCGAGGCCCCTTTTCCGGCCTATTCCCATCAGCGTGCGGTGGCCCGCCCATTGGGCGGGCCGCGGCGGGCAGCGGAGCTTGACGACGCCGGCGCGCAGCCATCTCGCTCCGGAGCCGGGGAACGGTGCACAATCGTGCCAGGTGTCAGCAGATCATCAGTGGATCGGATAATTTGATCCATTGCGTGGGCGAGCGCGGAGGAGCAAGCGCTGGAAGTGAAGAAAGTGACTGCGGGCACTTCGAGCTCCAGAAAGGGGTCGATTGCCCAGCCGATCATTTCGTCGACGATTGCGCAAACTGGGAAGTCAGAGGAATTTCTATCTTTGAAGTAAACGGCAATGAGCTTCAATAGGGTTTCGTCGAGGGCTGGAGGTTTGAAATTGACGGAGTCCTCGAGGGAGAACTCGACGATTCGGATGAGGGGATGGAGGGAGAGGGAAGAGGGAGAGGAAGAGGAAGGGTAGAAGACGGTTACGTGGCAGTTTCTCGATGCCAGCTGGTTGCAGAGCTCGGTGGCGGGAAAGAGGTGGCCTGGGTGTGGAAATGGGACTACTATGACTTCGGGAGGAGACATTGTCTGCAAATCTTGAAATTGTCCAGGGGGGGGCTTGCTAATTTGGAGAAGTTTGATCTTTGGGTCGATGAGTTTATGTAGGAGCGGTGGACGCAGCGCCTACGGCAAGTTCTTGGAGAGCAATGGTTTGGGTTAGGCACGGATGGAGGGACGTTGTTTCTTGGGAGGTCTACGAAGTTTGGATGTTTTTCGGGAAAGCCAAATTTGACTTGTTTCTTTGGTACTTCCCGGGGGGTTTCGCTTTGCGTAGTAACGAGCATGAAATTGATTTCCATACATGTCACATCAAAAACTCTTAAGGGGGCTCTTTGGTTCGTTTCCTAGATACAGGAAAATGCATTTTCATGTATAAAAACATAATTTTTTGAGTTTTCCAAACTTTTTCAAGAAATAGATTGTTTCGCTTTGGTTCGCATAAAAAAAGGAAACTAATGTATTTATTTTTCTTGTGTTTGGTTCGCATGAATAAAAGGGAAAACTTTTGTTTTTATGACATTTCCTACTTTTATTGTGTTTGGTTGGTTTTGAAGTTTGTAGTGAAAAGAGTTTATGGTCACCATGGTAAGATTACCCCCACTATATACAAATTTATTTGTGCTCGTTATATGATGTAATCTTAATCATATAAAAGTTCGAATGTAACATGAACAAAAAAATAATATCCTAAATGAATTATAAATTTTTGTTTGTATTAATGAAATCATACGAAACAACATTTTTTACAAAACAACATTTCTGCTTGAATACTCATCCTTCTCACAAAACAACATTTTTTAAAAGTTCTGCTACAGTTTCTCGAGCTTGGAGTGAGACATCTTTTGTTGAGTTACGACTATTATTTCTTAGATCCAGTGAGGATACGAGCTGTACAACTGTAGGATCAGGCGGAAGTCGTGCTAAATCAATAATAAATTCCTGGAGAAAACAATCAGAAATTATAAGCTGAAAATTTTCATCTTCAAGGAGAGAAACTAGGCAATACTGAAGTTGAAAGAAGGATTTCGCAGTGTAATATATGTACCTTAAATCTATTGCTCTCAACAGTTCATTCTTGACTGAATTGATTACACAGATGAATTGCCAATAACTAGTGCAAGAAAGGTGATCTTATAACTAGTTAATTAAGAAAGAAAATGCTTACTTTGTAGCATCTGATGATGATGTCTCGACTTTTACCTGCATATGAGTTTAGAAGCAATCTATTAATAAACCATGCATCACAATTTGAAAAAAAAAAAAAGAATTCTCAAAGCAACATGGATAGAAGAAAGATATTAGGAAGTTACTTTCTGATTTCGACGAGCCTCCTTCGAAATGCTATTATCTGTCAAATAAACCATGCTTGAAAATAATTCTTGACATCATGTCAAATAAATCAGCCACATGTATATACGAATTATGGCTGTGAGCTCAGAACTTGTTTAATATCATCATTGTTAGCCTCCAGTGCAATATCAATAGATATTACAGGTTGCTAATCTCAGATAAATTGAAAAGAATCATAGCCTAATTTGAACACCTGTAAACAATATCAAAATAATCAAATCCAACCGAAACAAGCACAACCAGGCTCACAACCAGAAATCCCCAAAACAAGCACAAAAGCATCAGTTACCCAACAATGAACATGATGCACCAACCAGCCAACCAAAAAAGAACCAGGATACACCAAGCAGCCACGAAAAAGGAACCAAGCAACAACACCAAAAGCCAACAACAACATCAAGAAACAAACAGGCTCACAACCAGAATTCAACACCAACAGAATACACCAACACAACCAGGCTCACAACCAGAAATCCCCAAAACAATGATATGTGAGCCTGCTTGTTACCCAACCAGAAATCCCCAAAAACAAGCACAAAAGCATCAGTTACCCAACACAACACAACCAGGCTCACAACCAACACAACCAGGCTCTCAATAAGGCTGATTTCATAGAATACACTAATACAACCAGGCTCACAACCAGAAATCCCCAAAACAAGCACAAAAGCATCAGTTACCCAATAATGAACATGATGCACCAACCATCCAACCAAAAAAGAACCAGGATACACCAACCAGACACGAAAAAGGAACCGGGAAACACCATCCAGCCACACAAAATGAACCAGGAAACACACATAATGTATAAACAATGATATGTTAACTTAGAAAATATCCTGGTTGCTAATCTCACTAAGTTAAAGAGACTATTACCTTGTAAACATGGCGCCAATTTGCACCTGTATCAGTCAATCTGGTCCAAAGAATAAGTAAGTAAAAAATGAGAATCTCACAGTAGTTTTAGATCCAACCTCTACTAATGGATGAACAATATTGTTTTGTGGAAAGAGAATAACCAGAAAGGTGACTAGCATCTCCAATAACCTACATTTATATGATAAACCATAATGCCAAGTGAATCAAAATGAAAAATAATAAACTAAAAGGAGAAGAAAGCATAAGAGGTCCATATCTTCCCTTCTTATTCTTTGTATACTTTTTTTCTTGCTTCTAGAACAGCAACAACAACACCACTTTGGCCAACAATTGCAAGTCCTTGTAGGGGGATTTTTCGTCTTTGCTGCATCATAGCCATAGAGAGCTTGCCAACCAACATATAGAACCAACATAAGCACACAAAAACCAAGCACAAAATACCCAAATAACAGCATATAGAACCAACATGTGCACACAAAAAGCCGAGCACAAAATACCCATTATCCAACAAATTTAAACAACATGTGCACACCAACAACATCAAGTACCAACCAATAATATCAAGTAATCAGCATCTGGTTATTGATTATGGACGAGGGCTCAGAACTGGGTCAATATCATCATTGTTAGCCTCCAGTGCAAATATCAAACGATATTGCAGGTGGCTAATCTCTGAAATTTTGACAATCATCATAGCCTAAGGGGTTGTTTGGTTCGTTTCAGCCGAAACAAGCACAACCAGGCTCACAACCAGAAATCCTCAAAACAAGCACAAAAGCATCATTTACCCAACAATTAAAATGATGCACCAACCAGCCAACGAAAAAAGAACCAGGCTACACCAAGCAGCCATGAAAAAGGAACCAGGCAACAAATTCATCAATAAACAAGCAAGCTCACAACATCAAGAATGCCACCAAAAACACCAACAAGCAACAACAACCCAGCAGAAAAAAACCAACAGGCATCAACACCACCAACAACACCAACAAGCATCAACACCACCATCAGGCATCAACACCAGGCATCAACACCAGCCAACAACAACCCCAGTTCATGAAAATTGGGTATGAACTGAGTTTGGATACTTGAACTTATGGACATAAGCACTGATGTACCGAATCACTTCAAACCCCCTTTCAACAACTCCTTCATGAACAACATGAACACCTCTCTTCGTACCATCAAACCAACATGTGCCCAAACTAAACACAAAACCAGCAAACCCACAACAGCAAGTACACCAAACTAAACACAAAACCAGCAAACCAACCTGTGCCCAAACCGAACACAAAACCAGCAAACCCACAACAATAAGTACACCAAAAATGGCCAACCAACAACATCAGGCCACATAGAGGCAACATGTGCCCACAAATAACCAAGCAGAAAAAAATTAAGAAAAACAACATATGCACACCAAACTGAACACAAACAGATTGTGATGGTCACAAAGCCAACCAGAGCTGTTTAACTGATTATGGCTGAAGGCTCAGAATTTGGTCAAAATCATCATTGTTAGCCATCCAGTACAATATCAATAGATATTGCAGGTTGCTAATCTCAGAAAATCTAACAATCATCATAGCCTAAATTGATGCATATCAAAATGAATAGGGCTGAGGGCTAAGGGCTCATAATATGGTCAATATCATCATTGTTAGCCATCAAATATAATATCAATAGATATTGTAGGTTGCTAATCTCAGATATTATGACAATAATCATAGCCAATATGTAAAAAAGTCACCAACATAAACTGCCATGAAAACTTACTACACAAAATACCCAGAGTAATAGCCATCTAGTACAATGTGTGTACATTGTAGGTTGCTTGCATCTTAAAAAATTGTATGGTGACTTATAAATATCCTGCAGTCACAAGTTTAATTTAAAGGTTAGTACACCACAATATTCATAGTATGAAAGATAATATTAAAAAATGAAAGCAAATAGCTACTTACTACAATATAAATATAATATTAGCCATTGTCATACACTTCGACAACCACAAAACTAAACATCATTTTAAAAAAGTATTATCTCTAAACCAAACGATATTAGTCTTAAACTATAATTAAAAAAGTTTTCAAACAAAAAAGTGCTTAAGTGAGAATCATAAACTAACACACACCCATGATCTATATGTCTTCAATCCTCTTTGTTGAGAAATGCCTCTATCATCTCCTTCTGACCTCAATCCTCTTTGTTGAGAAATGCCTCTATCATCTCCTTCTGACCATCCGAAGATATGCCCATAAATAGTCTAGATTCATGCTCATTCATAAAGAGGTGACGGTAGTATGTATCTAACTTAGCAATGGTAAAGTCATGTGAATGAGCATATAGGACCGTGGATAACTTCTCGGTCCAATGCATATTCCCACACTTCATGTTTGTGCTAAATACATCTATCTTATCCACCATCTTTAGCATGATCTCACTATCTAGATTGGTCTTATGAGCCTTTACCTTGGCGGAGGATGATTTAGCTTTAGAACTTGATATTTTGGGTGCTTCCTTAGGCGGAGGAGTGTCCTCGCCATCTACAATGTGTACTTGAATAGATTGGGGAGAATGCATTAGTGAGTTCGCCTCATCTCCAAGATTTATGGTCTCACTATGGCTAAACTTTTTCCAAGCATCATTAGCAAATTGACCTGTAGCTTGATCATCACCGATGATAAGGGCGAGATCATCATAATGCCTCAATGGTTTATTGACATATTGTCTAAGCTTAGCATTCTTAAAGCTCTTGTCCTGAAAAATAATAATTTAATTAATTAGAAAAATTGCTTTAAAAATAGAAAATAAATCTATTAATCTTTAACCATGCTTTATTTACCTCAATCCACCTATCCAAACATTCAGGATCCATAATGACAGACTTCGTACTATCATCCCATCCAGCACCACTAAGATTACGACAAGTTTTCATATCACGAAATCTTGTTCGTAGAGTTTTGATGCGGTGCATGACATTATCCCACTTAAAAACTGTGTTGAACTTATCATTAATGTGTTGAGAAGCCATATGAAAAGCGGTTCTCTTAAAGCTTTTATCGGGTTTGTAACCCTTTCTTACCAAGTCAGCAAGAAATGGAATAAGCTCATCATCATAACGGGAATCCCAGAACAAATATTTATTCCCTTGAGAACCACCTACTTCACCATTTTTTTGGATGTGGTGTTTTTCCTCTTCTTCTTTGGATTTGGCGATGTTTCTACCCCTTCTTCTACGAGGTCCCGTTTGGAACCTGATTCGGGAGTAGATCCATTACCACTAGTGTGCGAAAGCTGCACCCCACTCAGATTAGGACTGTGAAATTGTGGAGGCAAAGTGGGTGAATTGAGCATGTTCGAATATGGCCCCCATATTATGGTGCATTGGAAAGTAGCTGCTATCATAGAATGGCATGTTCGGGTATGCTTGAGGTTGTTGTACAAAGTACGACTGCTGAAATGGAAAATACTCATCGCCGTGATGCACAGACTTAGGGGGTTGAGGTGGTGGGGAAGGTGAAGGAACGACCCCCTTGCCTTTTTGATTATCTCTCCCACTCAATGAACTATTATCAGCCATTACTAATTAAATAGAAAAAGTTAGATGAAAGAAGTAAAACATGAATAAAAGCAGAATGACATTAATGGAAATAGAGTTATTGAGTACATATATGAACATAAATAGAACAAAAATAAAAATCAAGTCTCTGTGGTTACACCATGATTATACATATCACAGTAGTCCACCCACATCGCCCAAGCAATATCATCTCTAAGAGTCTTCCACTCATTTCTTGATTTGGTTTGCTCTCTTTGGGTTTGATTTTGAGTAAAATCAACTAAATTAGTGTCATTCTCGAAAGCCACTTCGCTATCAATGTCTTCATTAATTTCATCATTGTTGAGTAGTTCATCACTTGGATCCACAGTTATAATAAAATTATGGAGTACCGTGCATGCCAATACGATATCTACTTGTATAGGAAAAGGATAATGCGGCTTAGCACACAAAATCTTGAAACGATTCTTCAATGTGCCAAATGCAGATTCAATCTTAGACCTCAATGAAGAATGTCTTAGATTGAATAATTCTCTTCTATTCTTAGGTGTTTTACTCAAATGTTCTTTCAAATGATATCGAACACATCGGTATGGAGAGATGAAACCTGGCATGGTTGGGTACCCAGCATCACATAGATAGTATTTGCCTACAATTTTATTAAGAAAATTGTTAAGTCAAGTTTGAATATTAAAAATAATAAATTTTAAGTTAAGTCTATAATTAATTACCATCATAGACTCTCAATCCATGTGGTTGTGGTCTAGACAATGCGTCCTGAAGAATCCTATAATCATTTGCAGACCCCTCCCAACCTGCTAGAACATATGTGAACAGTTTGTTTGGGGTGCAAGCTGCAAGCACATTCTGCCCAACCTGCTAGAACATATGTGAACAGTTTGTTTGGGGTGCAAGCTGCAAGCACATTCTGTGTAACACATTTGCGGCCTCGAAATCGTGTAACAAGATTAATCGGAAGCATAACATCTACATGTGTAATACCCCAACCCTTGAGAGGGTGATGCGATTAGTATTGATAGATTTGATTAGAATATTCATACCACCAAGATGCATCTTTTTTTCGGGAACCCAACTCTTAGAAACTCCAAAGTTAAGCGTGCTTGACCTGAAGAAATTCTAGGATGGGTGACCCCCTGGGAAGTTTTCCAGAGAGCGCGTGAGTGAGGATAAAACGTGCTGAAAAGACATGTGGTGGTTTGTGAGGCCAGTCCATCAGATCTAATAGCGTACCGACTCCGGGACTCCGGGAAACAGGGGTGTCACAACATGTGTCCCATCTATCATTCCAATACAATTCTATAATACATGTATAACACATCTAAATTAAAATTTACTTACATTGATTATACATTTAAATGTGCTTAAAGTGTAGATATACCTTGAAATAAGGGTAGTATAGTGGGTTGTTAATGATCTCTTGGGGAATGTCATTGGGGGCTTGTCTCATGTACCGTCCACGCAAGCAAATAATTGCTTGTAATACCTTGTTGAAATATCTACTCACTGTCTCCCCTGATCTTATAAAATAAGATCTAACTATGTGATTTTTAGATTTATGACCCAGAATGTTCAGAGTCATTATAAGTTGTTCTTCCACTGTTATATTCCTTGAGTCTTTTAGCAGGATATTGTTCCTCATTATACTCGCTAGTTTAACAAAAGCACCACTTCTTATTCTAATATAATTCACATAACTATCACTAAAACCATTATAAATTCGCTTTATGTGCTCAATTCTAGCTCTCTCTTGTCTTCTTTTTTCCTTACTTGGACCACTGCGAATTGATTTACGCCTTACTTGCATTCTTCTTATGACAGTAATTATTATAATTAGAACGGATAGGGTAGCATCTTGAACCATATTTACAACACTTTGTTCATCGTAACAATCACCATGATTATCCATCTACGATGCAAAAAATCATTATCCCGTTAGAATCTAAGTCGAATTATGTTAAAATCTGAACAAATTACAAATTATAGTTTACAATTTACAATTTACAATTTACAAATTACAAACATGGATTACTACAATATCAAACCAAAAAATATTACAGTGATATAAATAGCATTAATAAATAACAAAGATATGAACTTTAGCTCCTAAAATGAGAAAAATTACATTAACAACACGCAACGAACTAACAGTTTTATACTATCTAATAATGAGATAATTAAAAATACCCAAAAATTGATCTTAGAAAATACGAAATCATGGGGGAATTCTCACTGCTACAGTCACAAGCTCCTCATCACAAATTATAATTTTTTCAACACCTACAGATATTTATTAGTAATTAAATCTGATATGTCTCACCTAGAAAAATAAATCCGTAATACATTCCCAATAATAATGCTAAAACAACAAAAATTAATTCTAAAATCTAAGAAATTATACTCACCTAGAAAAATAAATCCGTAATACATTCCCAATAATAATGCTAAAACAACAAAAATTAATTCTAAAATCTAAGAAATTATACGAAAATACATTCCCAATAATAATGCTAAAACAACAAAAATTAATTCTAAAATCTAAGAAATTATACGAAATTTCATCATTTTCTTATCTGTGAAATCTCAAAAAAATAGGAAAATCACCTAAATTGATTCGAAAATCAAAAAATTTGCGTAGATCAGACCCCTCCCCCCTCCCACAAATTTTCTCCATGAATGGGTATTCGAAGTTTTCTAATCATATTTTCTTATCTGTGAACTGTCAAAAAATAGAAAAATCAGAAAAATTGATTCGAAAAACCAAAAAAATTGCGTAAATCAGACCCCCCCCATCCCCACAAATTCTCAGATCATTGTTGTAAATTAAACTAATAATAAGAAAATTAAAAAAACCCAATTTTTACCTTGATTTATGAAGCAACAGCGTCAGCAATGATCAGATCTGTTTATTATCGTCAATGATCAGATCCGAATACAGGGACAAAGTGGGTCGCCGGAGTTTCTGGCGGGAGGAGAGGGCGGAGGTAAGTATAGGTCGTTGAAGAAATCAACGATGAAACCAAACAGCCGACGTGGCTACAGTTTCTATCGATTTCACGAGGTTGAGGGAGGAATTGAGGGAGAGGAGGAAATCTGAGGCGATGGCGAAAAATCTTCAGTTTTGCTTGTGAAACCCTAGCGAACCAAAGTGGGGAAAATAAACCGACGAAAACGTTTTATCCAACGTGGCCATCGAACTTCTTACGTGGAGGTGGTGAAAAGATTTTCCACAGCGATAAAAAACGAACCAAACAGCCCCTAAGTCTAAAACTGTTTACGTTTTCTTTGTTCAATCGGTTTTATGTTGTGGGTCTGTTTGGTTGATTTCCTAAAAAACCAAGAAATGGAAATTAATGTAAATTGGGTTGGAAAATTATTTCAGAGATGTTTTACATTTCTTTTGTCCAGTACGTTTTATGACTAATGTAACTTAGGTTGGAAAATTAATTTAATTAGAGTTAAAATAAAAATTTGTGGTGTAGCGGAATAGGTGTTTCAAAGAAACAATCGACAACCCAAATTGGGAGAAAGTGGCCTAAAAGAAAACTGACACATGGAAAATTTGATGTTTTCCTCCACAATCGGTTGTTTGGCTCGTCAAAGCTAAAAAAGAAAGCGGGAGAGAAAATCGCTGCCAGCTGGGATTTGGAGCTGAGAAGTTTTCCGCCCCCATAAACACGATTTTGGAGGAAAATCCCCCAAAATAGTGATCGGTATGGATTCACTCTGTTCGATGGCGGGAAGGATGACATGGATCTGGAGGCAGGTGGTGGATTGAGGCTGTACCCAAGGCTGGATGCCAGCGAGAACGAACTCAGATGGAGGTTTGTACGCAAAGTGTACAGGATCTTATGCGCTCAGGTGGTGCTGACGACGGTGGTGTTGGCAGCGACGGTGCTCTATCAGCCAATGAACTATCTACCCAGTGAAAGCTTCGGCCTTGCCCTAGTTCTTGCCATCCTCCCCCTCATCTGTAAGATCTCTGGCCGATGAACTTCTTTCATTAGGGAGGTTGCAAGATCTAAATTTTTTGACAAAATAGTGATCAATACCTTAATTTGAATGTTGCTGCATTTTACTTTTTACATGGTTTCGGCCTTCTGTAAATTGAGTGAATTGTGGGATAAATCAAGAGTTATTATTGTTTGGGATTTTTCTCTTATTACAATCTAAATCGTTCTTAATTTTATATTAGGCCCCGCCATATCTACTATGTTGTTTTCAATAATTCACGTTGGTTTAGATTTAGCTATAGTTAATGACTTGTTAGACTAGTGAGGATAAATTAGAAATATGTAGATTTGAGGGCTAATATATTTTGTGTGCCTCAATTTTTGTTGTTAATATTTTGTCTTATATGGGTAGTAATCACACCATGGTGACCACTATCGAGTTTTCTTGATTTTTTAGTTTGAAACAAACACTAGAAAATGAGGGAATCTATTCATACATCTATTTTTTTTTTCTTTTTTCAAATTGAACCAAACTAAGAAAAGTGGTGGAAAGTACTTTTAGTCCATATTTTTTGTGAAACAAACACAAGAAACACTTTCCATAAAAGTGAAGAAAACACAAGAAAGTAAAGAAAAATCATTTTTGGAAAATGAAGGAAACGAACCAAACAACCCATATATGTAAACACCCAAGCAATTTCAGGAAACTTATTTCAGAGCTGTTTTACATTTCTTTTGTCTAGTACATTTTATGACTAATGTAAAATGGGTTGGAAAATTAATTTAATTGGAGTTAAAAAAGAAAATCTGTGGTGCAGCAGAATATGTGTTTCAAAAAAACAATCGAGAACCCAAATCGATAAAAAGCTAATGATAACTTTTCTTCCAAAATATTATTCAGATTGTTTTTCCTAGATACAACTTAAAGCCTTAAATAGAATACATAATACAAAGAATATAAAACGTACTAAGAATAGGAAATGAAATTAGAAAACTTAGAATAGGAAACATGAAATTAGGAAACCTAGAAAATAATTCAAGAAAATAAGAAACTAATAATAAGAATGGAGCACGTGTTTTTATTAAACGTGTGCTGCATCAATCTCCTCCTCTTGAAGAAAACTCGTCCTCGAGTTTCGTTGTTGTAGAGAAAACTCATTTGGTGGAAGATCAACTTTGTAAGCATTATCACCAATCTTCTGGACATCTTGCTAAATTTTGTTTTGATTTGCAAAATGCTCTAAATTTGTAATTTGCTTCAAAAAGACCACCTTTGTTTAATAATATTTCTCATTTGCAAAATAATTTTAAAAGACAATCTTTATTTGCAAATGATTCCCGTGCACGAGCTAATAATCCACAAAAACAAATGGATCTTTTTCATTGCACAAATTGTAATCGGAAGGGTTATTTGAGTGATTATTGTTTTGACCGTGTTAGTGCACCACATGTGCCCAAACGGGTTTATAACCCTAGGGCTTTAAGCTTAAATGATAGGGGTCATGTCCCTAAACCTTTTGGTACCAATAATACTTTGGTACCAAAACAAATTTGATTTTAAACCAAGAATTTTAGTGTTTTTATTTTTTTTCTTGGTTTTGAAAATTATACTTTAAATTTTTTGAAAATGAAAACAATTCTTTTTATTGATCATTTTTTTTGTTTTCATGATTATTGGTTTTGTTTTGATAAGAGGTTTGTATTTATATAACCCATCGGATTTATTGGGTATTTATTCCCAAATCTTGTTTACCGGGTACTAAAAGTCCTTATTGTTGACCCTATAGTTTTAATGATGATTTGTCAAACAATTTATCGCTAATATATTCTCTAGTTTTGTGTTTATATTTCTCTTTACAGGTATTTCAACACACGACAATCAAGCGTTAAAGATTCAAGTTTATATGTGTGGATTTACCTAGGTATAAGTTTAGTTTACTTACATATATTGTATGTTTATATGTAAGCTCAATATATGTACACTTAACACGATTTTTGACGTTTTCTATCACATAAATGATTTTTCATCAAACGTCATTACAATATATTTTATCTCATGTTTACAGCTCATTCATACTTTATTATATACACATAATATATGCATGAGATATATTTACGTGTTTATGAGTCATATCAAAATTTTCATATTCGTAAAATACATGTTTTACGAACACTTTTCAAAAACAGTGTGTTTTTGCAAATGAAAATTGATTTTCCAAAAATTCCTTTTCTAACATGTTCATTTTATCATTTAGAAACTTTTTCTAAAGTTTTATTATTTTTGGAATTGATTTGCTATTTTTAAAGAATTTCCAAAATCAACCAAAATAGGTTTTTCAGCATGTATCAGATTGCGGTCGACCGTCACGGTCGACCGCCAGTGGTAATTTTTCTTAGCACTACTTTTGTGTGCTCGCGGTCGACCGTGATGGTCGACCGTGAAAACATCCAGAGACTTTCGCGGTTGACCGCCAGCTTTAAATTTTCAAACTCTGTATTTTTGAGCTTCGCGGTCGACCGCCCCGGTCGACCGCCGAACTATCAGATCACTCCAACGGTTAGTTTTTTACAGCTGTTCTTTGTGGGCTTTTTGGTCAATCTAAGTGAGTTTTTACTGATGTATTGGGTTGTTATAAATACCCTACTGCATTCAACACTTTAACTATCTAAGAGAATTGATTACTTAAGTTTACAAAGTGTTTAAGAGCTGTTTAAGCTGATTTCATCAGTTTGTTTCAAAAGAAATTTTTTTTCCTACAACAAGAAGTGGCTTTCAAATCCTATTGGGATCATCATCTACTGTTCTTCTTGTTTGAAAAGTTTTCTAAACTCTTATATAGCTTGTTATTTCATTTTCATTTCAATTAGCTATATTTATTGAGTTTCATTCACTGTTATCACATACACATATTGATCTTAATATCTTTATACCATATAGTGTGGGTTATGGGGTGTGATTTAGTGAGTGTGAGCTTCATTGTGTTCTCACTTGTTATTTGAGAACAAACCATTGTATTTAATCTTGTTTTGTGAGAATCACTTGTAATACACTTTTACACCGAGAGAAGTGTGAGGCGAGAAACGGGGTCGAATCCAATAGGAGTGGCGTCGGTTGACGAACCTAGGGAAAGGTTGTAACCGATCACTTGAGGAGGAGGACACGGGCTAGGTTCCTACACTTAGTGTGTAAAGTGTGATTGATTAGGGATTGTATAGTATGAGAGTTTTCGGTGATCTTGTAAACCGAGTGTGTAGAAGTTCCGGCTTCCAAACCGGATTTTGATAGTGGAGATCTCCTCGAGGTGAGGAGCGGGGACGTAGGTCGTGGTGACCGAACCTCGTAAACATATCGTGTGTTTGTGTTTTGCTTGTCTCATATTTTATTTGTGCATATTCTTATTGTTCTTATTCATATCTATCTCTTGCAAAAACATATTGATCAATATTATTTTAATTGGTAATTAATCGGGATTAGATTAGCATAAGACCCTAATCACCCCCCTCTAGGGTCTAACAATTGGTATCAGAGCTTGGTGCTCTTTGATTTAAGGACTAACCGCCTTGAGTTAAAGATCCAAGTTATCGTTTTTGTGCTACTCTAGTGTTGATTGCATTTTGCTTCTTGCATATTATCTTTATGGATATGTATAATTCATCTAGTTTAGGATATGCTATTAATATTGCTCATCGTTTGGATAATTTTCCCTATGCTCAATGGCGTGTTAGATTCAAACTTTTCGTTCAATCTAAACAATTCGATTTATAGGAAATTATTGAGGATGCCTATATTGTTCCCATTTTGGAAAAATCCAAATGGTGTGAAAATAATAAAAGATTGTTTAATATGAACAAGCTTTTATTAGAATATTTGATTAATGCTTTTCACTCATCGCTTTCTAACAAATTTGCTAATTTTGATAGTGCTTACGCCTTATGAAAATTTATTGAAGCACATGAAGGGGAATTGAAGGCTATTCAACAAGCGTTGGAAAATCCCGCTTTGAGTTCTAAAGAAGCCTCATCTCCATGTACAATTCCACTAGGTGATAACCCTAGTGAGGTATGTAATAACGATGATACTATTACTTTTGATGAACTTGCTCTTGAGTTTGAAAAGTTACACAATTGCTATATTGATGTAAAGAGTAAGTATGTTAATATGAAATCCACTCATGAAACACTAGCCACTAAGTTTAATTTGATTGCAAATGAAAATATAATTCTTAAAGAATGCAATGAAAACTTGAAAATTAAAAATGCTAGTTTGCTTCATGAAAAACGTGATGCTATGTTAGAAGTAGATAAGATGAAATCTATGATGAGTAATCTTGTTTATCCTACTTCTAGTAGCAATGTGTGTATGCACAATGATGAGTTGAATCAAATGAGAAAACGAATATCTACCTTAGATTCAACACTAAACACTTGTATTGCTAATAATAAAAACCTTATGGACTTATGTGCAAAGTTCAATGTTAATTCTTCTAAGAAACCTATTCACTATGCACATATGTATGACAAAATTCACAAATGTTCTATTTGCGGTCTTAAAGGCCATTTAGCTCAATTTTGTCATAATGCACCAAAAATTAACAAGCCTATTCATGATTGTGCATCCCATCAAGCTTCTTCATCACATACACATATACACACACATATAGTGTAAATCATAAACATGCTCATGTGTACAAATATGATTATTGTGGTCGTTTTGGTCATTTGGTCATGTTTTGTTTCGATTTGAAAAGAAATTCTCGTTTGCAAAATAATTACAAAGAAAAATCTATTTTTGCAAAAGAACCACGTGCATTTTATTTCGGTCAATGTAAACCATTCAAACCTCTATATTGTACAAATTGCAATCGTATGGGTCATGTTTACAATTTTTGCTTTAATCGTATCGGTGCACAAAATACGCCCAAGCAGGTTCATAACCCTAGGGCCTTGGATTTAAATGATAGGAGTCATGTCCCAAAGTTTAGTGGTACCAAAATGATTTGGATACCAAAATGATTCTTATGTCACTTATTGTTGTTTTATTCGTTTTTTATTTTGGTTTGAAAAATTGGTTTTTGTATGTAAATTTTCCCTCTTATTTAGCTAAAATAAATTATTTGTATGATTTTATAGCTAAAAACTTTTATATATATCTTATAAAACATTTGGTATCTTATAAAACAAATTCTTAAAGGACTAAATTAAAAACTTTCTCAAAATCCAGATTTTACAATGACTATGCATTTTTCTTTCTCGCGGTCGACCGTCGATGTTTCTGTAAGTTGTTACGGTCGACCGCAAGAAAATTTTTCAGCTTCGTTTTTAATTCTTATTGGGTTTCGGTTTTTTTTATAACTGTTTTGAACCCGATTTCGTCATCACCATTGATCTGTTCCCTGAGCTAATCCTAACCCTTCCTTCATCTCCTCTAAGATCCGACTCCTTATTTTTCCCCTCATTCGAAAATTTTTCCCTAATCTATCGATTTCTCCCACGGTCGCCTACTTCGTCGACCGCGGCTCTCATTCTCCGTCAATCTCAGTTGGGATCTGTAGGGTAATAATCTCTCCTCTCATCTTTTGATTTCATTTCCTGCTCTAGTGATTCTATTCTCAGTCTAGGGTTTTGATTTAGAGTCAATTCATTTTTACTTATTTTGCTTTATTTTCATTTCCAGGGTTTTATATTTCTGTCCAATTTCATTCAAAAACCCTAATAGAACATGCCTCCTAGAAAGAGATCAAAATCTGATGTTGGTTCGTCTTCTTCTGTAGCCTCTCATTATGAGGATTTTCTTTTGTTTAAATCCCTAGTTAAGAAATATAGGGAGTTGTGCAAACTGAAAATTCTTCCCACCAGATATATCAAATTTGATCAATTAGCCATGTATGACACTCATACGATTCTTCATAATGTTGGGTTGGCTAGGCTGTTAGATGAGGAATGTAAAGTTCCTTATTATCCTTTTCTGGTTTATCTATTTTATGCCAACTTATCTGTGTTATCCTCTGCTGATGGTCTTCAGACCATTAGTACATCTGTTAAAAATATTCCTATTTCTTTTTCTGTCAACGAACTTGCGGGGATTCTTAAAATCCCGACAGGTGATGTTGAGCTTATGTCTATTGAGCATGATGATCAAGCTGTGAACAACCTCTTATTTAAACCCGATTGCACTTATCCGATGAACAATAATTCTCTTAATCCCAATGCCAAACTTATTGCTAGAATTATTGCTCACAATCTGATTCCTAAAACCGGTAGTTTTGATCATTTTGCTTCTGATAAGATCAATGCTGTATATGCCATTTTTGCCAAAATAAAAGTAGACTGGGCAAACGTTTTTCTCAAAAACATAGCATCTAAGCATTTCAAATTTCTACCTTTTGGCTCCTTCATCACCCTTATCCTTCAACACTTCGGTGTTGATCTCACTCATGAACCCAAAGTTGAACCCAAGAAGGACTTTTTTGATAGAGTCTCTCTCTCTAGCATGCAACTGTCAGACTCTTTATCTGATCTCACTGCTATGCCATCATCTTCCCGTTCTCAATCTAGAGCCTCCTCTTCCACTTCTGATATCTGTGCCCGTTTGGATCGCCTTGAGACTCAAGTCTCATCTATTCAGAGGAACGTTAGGACTATTCTATCCTATCAGCGTCAGTCTCTTGGGATTCCGGATCCCTCTTCCAGTTCTGAGTCTGGTTCTGAGGAGGACCCTGAGCGTCAGTCTCTTGGGATTCCGGATCCCTCTTCCAGTTCTGAGTCTGGTTCTGAGGAGGACCCTGCTGGTGGATCTGATTCTGGCTCTGATGGTTCTGAGGAGGACCCTGCTGGTGGATCTGATTCTGGCTCTGATGATGAATCTGCACCTGGCTCTGGTCCTGCTTCTAGTGATGATGGTGGTGATTGACTTTGATGCTTATTGTGTTTACTGGATTTTGTGCTTATGATGAAGATTGTTTCTATTCTTATGGTGATGTTTTATTTTGAGTTGTAGAACTTGATACTTATGTTTTTAGTTTGAGTTGTAATAACTCTATGCTTGTGTGGAAAACTATATGACTTTGTGAAACATTTTATGTATGGTTTGTAGTTTTTTGTGGAACAAACTATGTTCGTGGAAAACTATGTAGTTTCTGATGTTTAAGTGATGATTTATGATTTTTTTGTGGAACAAACTATGTTCGTGGAAAACTATGTAGTTTCTGATGTTTAAGTGATGATTTATGATTTATTGTGTTAGTTTATCTTTTCTATGAACTATGCATGGTGAAAACAATTTTCATGCTTTGTTTGTGGAAAATATGTTGCTAATGATGAGTTCTTTGGATTATATATTGTTTATGGATGGATAATTATTGTTTAGCTCCTAAATATGCTCTTTAGATGTCATTTATGCAATTTGACAGGGGGAGTTTTTGGCAATTCACTTGGCTTTTTATCTGTGCTTATATGCAGGGGAAGCGTTGCTCCTATTTTTTTTATTTTTTTGATGTTGTCAAAGGGGGAGAAAATCCACATATGGTTTATTTATTCATGTTCATGTATGGTTTATTGGTTTATTCATGTATGGTTTATTCATGTTGTATACATGATTGGTTTATATGTGGCTTATCAGTATATATTTCATATTCATGTATAAATTGTTTGTCATCATCAAAAAGGGGGAGATTGTTGACCCTATAGTTTTGATGATGATTTGTTAAACAATTTATCGCTAATATATTCTCTAGTTTTGTGTTTATGTTTCTCTTTACAGGTATTTCAACACACGATAATCAAGCGTTAAAGATTTAAGTTCATATGTGTGGATTTACCTAGATATAAGTTTAGTTTACTTACATATATTGTATGTTTATATGTAAGCTCAATATATGTACACTTAACACGATTTTTGACGTTTTCTATCACATAAATGATTTTTCATCAAACGTCCTTACAATATCTTTTATCTCATATTTACAGCGCATTCATACTTTATTATATACACATAATATATGCATGAGATATATTTACGTGTTTATGAGTCATATCAAAATTTTCATATTCGTAAAATACAGGTTTTACGAACACTTTTCAAAAACAGTGTGTTTTTGGAAACAAAAATTGATTTTTCAAAAATTCCTTTTCTAACATGTTTATTTTATCATTTAGAAACTTTTCCCAAAGTTTTATTATTTTTGGAATTGATTTGCTATTTTTAAAGAATTTTCAAAATCAGTCAAAACAGGTTTTTCAGCATGTATCAGATTGCGGTCGACCGCCGCGGTCGACCGCCAGTGGTAATTTTTTTAGCACTGCTTTTGTGTGTTCGCAGTCGACCGTGACGGTCGACCGTGAAAACATCCAGAGACTTTCGCGGTCGATCACCACGGTCGACCGCCAACTTTAAATTTTCAAACTCTGTATTTTTGAGCTTCGGGGTCGACCGCCCCGATCGACCGCCGAACTGTCAGATCACTCCAACGGCTAGTTTTTTACAGCTGTTCTTTGTGGGCTTTTTGGTCAATCTAAGTGAGTTTTTACTGATGTATTGGGTTGTTATAAATACCCTACTGCATTCAACACTTGAACTATCCAAGAGAATTGATTACTTAAGTTTACAAAGTGTTTAAGAGCTGTTTAAGCTAATTTCATCAGTTTGTTTCAAAAAGAGTTTTTTCCTACAACAAGAAGTGGCTTTCAAATCCTATTGGGACCATCATCTACTGTTCTTCTTGTTTGAGAAGTTTTCTAAACTCTTATATAGCTTGTTATTTCATTTTCATTTCAATTAGCTATATTTATTGAGTTTCATTCACTGTTATCACATACACATATTGAGCTTAATATCTTCATACCATATAGTGTGGGTTGTGGGGTGTGATTTAGTGAGTGTGAGCTTCATTGTGTTCTTACTTGTTATTTGAGAACAAACCATTGTATTTAATCTTCTTTTGTGAGAATCACTTGTAATACATTTGTACACCGAGAGAAGTGTGAGGCGAGAGACGGGGTCGAATCCAATAGGAGTGGCGTCGGTTGACGAACCTAGGGAAAGGTTGTAACCGAGCACTTGAGGAGGAGGACACGGGCTAGGTTCCTACACTTAGTGTGTAAAGTGTGATTGATTAGGGATTGTGTAGTGTGAGAGTTTTCGGTGATCTTGTAAACCGAGTGTGTAGAAGTTCCGACTTCCAAACCGGATTGTGATAGTGGAGATCTCCTCGAGGTGAGGAGCGGGGATGTAGGTCGTGGTGACCGAACCACGTAAACATATCGTGTGTTTGTGTCTTGCTTGGCTTATATTTTATTTGTGCATATTCTTATTGTTCTTATTCATATCTATCTCTTGCAAAAACATATTGATCAATATTATTTTAATTGGTAATTAATCGGGATTATATTAGCATAAGACCCTAATCACCCCCTCTAGGGTCTAACACTTATATGGGTTGGAACAAGCTCAAGAGCTTGATATGGTTGCCTCTCTCATTTGTAAAAATCAATGATGATTTGGTTTTATACTCTTAAAGATGATTTTTAGTGTTTAAAATCCATAGTTCATGATTCTTGGATGTTAATTTTGAACTATAAAAATTTTGCTTTGATTTGTTCTTTTGAATTCATTATATAAGCACAAATAGATGATTCAAATTTCAAATATGCTTTATAATGTATTCTTTATGTGGTTTGATTAAGTTTTACAAAGAAAATTTTCTTTATTGATCAAACATCACTTTTAGGTTTAAATCTTGATTTATGATTTCATTTGAGTGATTTGTTTTTACTTGAAAACTTTTTTCATGATTCTCATATTTTTCTTTCTTTTAATTTCATAAATCTATTTTATACATGGTTTTTATGTTAGTGTAATGAGACACTATCTTCATAATGACATATCTATATGTGTTCTCTTTGTCCACTTGTATGTGAGTAATATTTAGCATATTTTTTATTTATGCTTGCTCACATGCTTGCCTTAGCATTCATTTCATGTATCCTATGAGGCATTTTGATAGGGGGAGCAATCCCTATATTTGTTTTATACTCACCCATGCTTATTTGTAGGGGGAGCTTTTGCTCTCTTCATTCTTTTGTTTTTCCTTTTTTAATGTTGTCAAAGGGGGGGAAATATTATGAATATATCTTGTTTTGGTTATATGCATGATAATTCTAATTTACATATTAACTTTCTTTCATGCATATATCATTTTTGTAAATTATTTATCATCATCAAAAAGGGAGAGATTGTTGGCCTCTTTGTTTTGATGATGTTTAACAAACAATTTACTACTAATGTTGTTTGTCTAGTGTTTATGCTTATCTATTTATTGTAGACAAACAACATGTTGGAGGATGGATAGAATTATGCATTCACGATCATATCCAATGGAGGTTGGCGGAATTATGGAGTGAACCTACGCAATTCAAAGTTAAAGATTCAAGTTCAAGCTTCATCCGCAAGTGTACCAAGATAGAGCTTCGTTGAAGATCAAGATAGCTTGGGTAAGTTTAGTTTTAGGTTTTATATTATGTGTGTTAGTACTTTAAGCTCAATCATACATACACATACACGTTTTGGTTTTTCTATGTAGTCGTATATATACATACATGTTTTGGTTTCCAAGTATATATAAATATGAAATTACATCCTTCATATTTATTGTTTTGGGTTTTTAGTTTTACTATGAAACAATTGAATACAAATGAAAATACATTTCTTGTTTCATACTTATATGCATATATATGATTTCATCAATATCAATTTTATTTAGTTCAATGAAATAATATTTTAGTGTATTATATGTGTATTTTGATAAAATATTATATTTATTGTTTATAGACTTTATAAAAATAGTTTACATCTTTCTTCAAATCTATAAAATCATTTTGTATTGTTTCAAAACATGGTTAAGCTAAAATGTCAAAACTCATATGTTCACATTTTCATGTTTTGGACTATTTTGTAAAATGATGATATTTTTTATTTGGGAGGTCTTTTTTGAAAACCAGTTTTTGTAGCATGTGTATTATCATATCTACAATCATTTTCCAAAGTTTTATATTTTTTAGAATTTCTTTGATATTTTTAAACAGTGTTTTAAAATCAGAAAACTGTTTCAAACCTGTCATTTTTCATATATCAGTTTGCGGTCGACCGCCGCGGTCGACCGCCTTGAGTCCAGAGACTCAGTAAGTTTTTTGATGGCTCGCAGTCGATCGTGGCGGTCGATCTAAGCTAACTTGGATCTTTAACTCAAGGCGATTAGACCTTAAATCAAAGAGCACCAAGCTCTGATACCAATTGTTAGACCCTAGAGGGGGGGTGATTAGGGTCTTATGCTAATCTAATCCGATTAAATACCAATTAAAATTAATTAATAAGTTATCCTAGCAAGTATGAAATACGACAAAATATATGAGCTAGGATAAGCAATATGAACAATGAGATATATCCTATATATATGCAATGATATATAAACAACACAAGGGTAAACAATCTAAACAAGATAGTGGATGATATAGAAATGAGCAATGCACAATGGCGATATAAGATATGAACATAAATATGAATGAACGCCAAAGCACACTCAAACAAGCAATATGATCACGGAGTTCGGACCTTCCGTTCTACGTCTCCGCTCCCCACTCCCGGGGAGAAATCTACTAACACAATCCGGTTTGGAAGCCGGAACTTCTTCTACACACTCGGTTTTCTAGCTAACCGAAAACTCTACAACTCACACTCTTGCAATCACACTCTACACCCACTAAGTGTTGGACCTAGCCGTGTCTCCCTCAAGTGCTCGGTTACAACCTCTTCCTAGGCTCGTCAACCGACGCCACTCCTCTTGGGACGATCCCCGACTCTCACCACACACTCCTCACTCGGTGTACAAGTGTATTACAAAGTGAATCTCACAATAA